CTTTGTTCTCCTTATTCCTAACTAGCAATTCTTTGATGTCAGAGCTGGAGTAAGGCCAAGGGCTTGTCTTTCCACTGAAAAATCAGACATTTTTCATAAGTGTTGAGGAGTAAAGCCTGGTTTATTACATGGATCTCAGGACCCTTTGCTGTATCAAATGTGCGTGCAAAAGATGCATCCACAATACCTAGCAGTGGTTTCCAAAAAACTATTCCCCACTCCACCTGTACTTCATACTTTCTGCTTTTCCTGTACTCACTGCAGTGGTTTGGTCCAAGGCCAAGGAGTGAAGACGATCTTGTTTCTTAAGTCTTACCAAGTTTCTCCATCCTCTTTCTCTCCCCGTTCATTCTCCTCCCATTTCCTCTCCTCCCACCTCCCTTCTCCCTTCTTCACTATATTTTAATCATGATCATCAGGGGAGCTGTTGGAGGATTTAAAGGCGCAGCTCCTCCCTTTTTTAATCATCATCTGGGATGTTCATTTGCTCTTTAGAAGGAACATATCTAAAGTCCTACAGACATGTATGCCTCTGTCATCAACTCTACTGCAGTGCTTGTTAAGCAGGCTTGTGACAAAGAACCAGGTTTTAAAAAATTTTTAATGTGCTGTGAACTTTTCTCAAATACAATAAATACGAATTAGTAGAAAAATGAAATAAAAAGTCAAACAACATGTCTCCGATTTTTCAGTTTTTATTACTAGACTCAACAGGCATAAAAATCACCATCGAATTGCTGTGTGAATGTCTCAGTGCTTGCTCTGTGACCCTGCACTTGCGGCAGACAGGACAGACAGTTCCTCCACCAGCACCGGTCAGGGGTGCACTCCTAGTAGCTCTGCTCCGGCAAACCAAAGCGTCGTAAGTTCTCCATCTTACCCCAATCTGAACAAACTAACAAAATTCTCTCTGCACCAAAGAGCAAACATGCATGTAGGCATCCGCATGCGTGCACGTGCACACACACACACACACACACACACACACACATTCCAATAACAATGCTACTTTACAGGGAGGTAATAGAATGTAACTGTTAAGTATGTGGACTCTGAAGCCAGATGTCAACATTTACAAGTTGTAGCCACCTGAACCTATTTTGTATTAAATGAGGATGGTAATCAAAATCCCAACCTCTTCAAATTAAGACAATTAAGTGGTACACAGCTCTCAGAACAGTAGGTGCTCAGTAAATTTCGCTATTATTATTCTTTTTTACTTGAGGGAATAGAGAGCCCTGTTGCCTTGCTCAGCATGTCCACCTGCAAGAGGAAAGCCAGAGCCAGTCCTCTCTTCCCAGTATCTGGAAATACCTACTATCTATCCTTTGGTGGAGGGACAATCCTAAGTGCCCATTAGCAATGAAGTTCCCCTTCGTTCAGTGTGAGGAACATCCTAACCACCTACCTTTGCTGCCCTCTGCTGCTGCCATTGAGAATTGCACTGAGTTGAATTTCTGCTGGAAGTTGGGCAAAAATCTAACCTCACATGGAGGTAATTATCAATATGTACTTTGTTCAGGATTTGATTGAATATCCTACAAGTTGTTTTTCACAGTGCCCCTAACATCATAGCTTTGCACTTTTACGTGGCATGCAACCTATAACTGCTTCTGGACACTGGCATCAAAAGCAGGTCTTTTTCACGTAAGCTCAGCCTACTTGCAACGGAACATGGCAGATCTGAAACCTGTTCCTTCCTGACTTCCTCCACATCTCAGATGTTCAAACCTGACTCCCAAGTTAACTGTGACCTCTCGTGTTCTCTCAGCTGCCCAAATTCATGCCTCCCTCCCTCTGCAAGGTCTTTTTAGCACCTCCAGAGAGGCCCCCTGTGTCCAAGCCTCTCCCCTTTACATGCCTTTGAGATCCATAGTTCTGAAGTCTCTCTCTAACCTGAGTCACCTCTCCCCAGTCCACACTTGGTCCAAGTCCCTCTGGCCTTCTTCATCTGACCTTCCCTGCTCTGCAGCCTGATCTCTCGTGACACCCTTGCAGGCTGGCCCCCATTCTCCACACACATGTCATTTCCTTTATGGTTTAGTGGGTGCTGTTTCTTTTGTCAAAAATTCCCTCTTTTCTACAAAAACCCTTTACTGCTCAGCTCAGACGCTGCTTCCTCCACAGCCCCTCCTCTCACTGCTCCAGGAAACAGTGCTCAGCGTCTGAAGGCTGAAGTACGTCTCAGGTTGCTCTCATCAAATGCATCATTACTTCCGTAAATTCCTTTTTAAATTTTTTCCTGACAAAATATTTTGTTAACATTTGGGGAATTAATAAAGAAAATGATAAGATTGAAAAGAATGTTTGGTCCTCTGCTTCCAACCATGATGCAGAGCAAGAACAGCCTTATCTCTCTATTTTTTACCTAAAACAACAATCAGAAAATGGAGAAAATATATGAAACAACAGTTTGCAAGACACTGGTTGAATCAGGCTGTGTCTTGGGAAAGACAGTGATTCCATGAAAGGGGGAAACAAATGAGGTATGACCTTCTTCCCGCTTCCTGCCTTGACAGAGTCCCTCAGCTGCGGTGCAGGGACGGGGAGCCCGTGTGGAGCCTGGTGGCCTCCCTGAGTTGTGGAAAATGAGATGAGCGACCAGGGGAACCGCAGCTAGAATTCATGGGAAGGAGGACTGGTGAAAACTGCCCAGAGAGTGAACTCCAGGGATCTGCAGAGGGTGCCCTTCAGGTTTTCAGCAGAGTACTGAGCGGTCCACACAGGAGAGGAAACCATCTGAAGCTGGGGAAAGAATCACCCAAAAGGATTAGTGAGAATTGCATCCTTTGGGTTGGGGGCAACCAGTGCCTCTTCCCACCTGCCAGACTGGGAAGCCTCATAGTTCACGGAGTGCCGGGTAGAGCACTCAGGTCTTGCCTCCGTAGTGGGGAATAATTGGCCCCGAAACAAACACATCTGTGGTTCCACCTAGCACATTTTAAAAGCGAGATCCAAAAGAATCAAGCTGTTTCCAAGTAGCTAAACCGTGTTTCAGCACAAAGCTTATGAATATTTACAGAGATACAATTATACTCAACACCCCAAAAGTAAAGTCCACAAAGTCTGGAATCCAGTAAAAAATTACCAGTCGTGTAAAAAAGGAAGAAAATACTACCTGTAATGAGAAGAAAAGTGGCTCAACTGCAACTGACCCAGCAATGGCACAGGTGACAAAATTACCAGACCATTAAAACAGTTATAACACTATTTCTTACATTAAAAAGTTAGAGACACAAAAAGTTTAAAAAATGCCACAACTGAAATTCTAGTCTGAGACAAGGCTGCACACTTTAAATAGATACGATTTTATTTTTCAATTATACTTCAATAAAGGTGGAGAAAAACTGATAGGCAAGTAAACAAAAATCAGTAAGGACCTGGCAGACAGATGGCAGAATCAGCCGACCCCACCTGACTGCTGTGGACGAACCCTCCCCCAACAGCAGCAGGGGACACCTGGAGGAAACATGGAGCATTTTACAAGTGTTCTCAACAGGTTCACAAGAATTCAAATCATAAGTATATTCTCTAACCACAATGGGATTAACTTAAAAATCAAAACCAGGAGCATCTGTGAAAAATTTCTTAAATATTTTAAAGCTAAATATCCCACTTCTTAATAACCCGTGGATCAATAAAGAAGTCAAAGGGAAATTAGAAAGTCTTTTGAACTGAGTGAAAGTGAAAACACCACCTACTGAAATTTGTGAGAAGCTGTTAAACTAATACTTAGGGGGAAATTTATAGCACTAAGTGCGTAAATTAGAAAAGAAGAAAGGGCTCTGCATACTTTCTTCCTTGAAAATTTTAAAAGAAGAACAGATAAACTACAGAAAGCCAGCAAAATCAAAGAATAAAGATTAGAGTAGAAACCAACAAAAAATAATATAGAAAATCAATGAAATAAAAATGCAGGTTCTTTGGGAAGATGACGTAAATCGATAAAACCTCTTGCCACACTGGTCAGGAAAAAAAGAGAAGACACGAGTTGCCAATATTATGAATGAGAAGTGACATCAGTATAGAACATATAACTACAAATCCCCACAGGCACTAAAGGCCTAATGAGGATACATTGTAAAAAACATTATGGAAATAAATAAAAAAACTTAAATGAAGTGGAAAAGTGTCTTGAAAGACCTAAATTACCAAAGCTAAATCAAGAAGAAATAAATACCCTGAATAGCCCTATTTATAGGAAAGACATGCACATATAGTTTAAAACCTTCTCAAAAAGAAAATTCTAGACCCAAATAGTTTCCCTGGAAAATTCTACCAAACTTTCAAAGAAACAATCCCAATTCTACACAGACTGTTCCACAAAATAGAAGGGGATGGGACACTCCCCAGCTTGTTCTAAGAGTCCAGCATCAAACTGATATTAAAACCAAATAAAGACTTTACAAGTTAAAGAAAACTAGAGAATGCTATTCCTCATGAAAATGATGTAAAATTTGTGGAGAAAAAGATTTAAATAAAATCCACAATAAATAAAAACAATATATCATGATTTAGTGGCATTCACTTCAAGTTAAAATGCACAATTTAACACTTGAAAAGCAATCAATATAATTCTGCATATTAAAAAAGTACATATGAAAATGCATGGGATTATCTCCACATGTGCAGAAGAACCATTTGGCAAGTTCCAACACCTGTTCCTGATTTAAAAAAAACACACCTTGCAGAGGCGTGTTTTGCTGGCTGTTTCTGGGATCAGCAGCTTTGGAGCCTCCCTCTCTCTCTCTCTCTCTCTCTCACATGTACCCTGCTTGATCTCCACCACTTTCGGAAATTTTTGAAAATTCATTTTATTAATTATGCCATTATAGTTGTTCCAATTTTTCCCCTTTTGCCCCCCTCCATCTGGTATCCCCTATTCCCTCCAGCAATTCCCCCCTTAGTTCATGTCCATGGGTCATGCATAGAAGTTCTTTGGCTTCTGCATTTCCCATACTATTCTTAAACTCCCCCTGTCTATTCTATACCTACCAATTTGTACTTCTTATTCCTCGTACCATTTCCCCCATTCTTCCCCTTCCCAACTGATAGTCCTCCAAATGACCTCCATATCTATGATTCTGTTCCTGTTCTGATTCTTTGTTTTTTAAGATTCAATTGTTGATAGTTGTAAATTTATTGCTACTTTAATGTTTATAGTTTTGATCTCCTTTTTCTTACATAAGTCCCTTTAACATTTCATGTAATAGTGGCTCGGTGATGATGAACTCCTTTAGCTTTACCTTATCTGGGAAGCACTTTATCTGCCCTTCGATTCTAAATGATAGATTTGCTGGATAATCTAGGTTGTAGGTCCTTGCTTTTTATCACTTTGAATACTTCTCGCCAGTCCCTTCTAGCATGCAAAGTTTCTTTTGAGGAATCAGCTGATAGTCTTATGGGAACTCCTTTGTAGGTAAATATCTGCTTTTCCTTTGCTGCTTTTAAGATTCTCTCTTTATTTTTAACCTTTGTCATTTTAATTATGATGAGTCTTGGTGTGGTCCTTTGTGTCCGTCTTGTTTGGGATTCTCTGTACTTCCTGGACTTGTATGTCTATTTCCTTCACCAAATTAGGGAAGTTTCCTTTCATTATTTTTTCAAGTAAGTTTTCTACTTCTTGCTCTTCCTCTTCTCCTTCTGGCACCCCTATGATTCAAATGTTGGTATGTCTGAAATTGTCCCAGAGGATGTTTATACTGTCCTCATTTTTTAAAAATTATTTTTTCTTCTTGCTCTTCTGATTGAATATTTTTTCTTCCTTATTTTCCAAATTATTGATTTGATTCTTGGCTTCATCAACTCCATTGTTGTTTCCCTGTAAATTGTTCTTTATTTAAACTCATGTAAACTTTATTCCTGCCTGGGTCTTTTTTTATGCTGTTGAAGTACCCAGTAAGTTTCTTGAGCATCCTAACAACCAGGGTTTTGAACTCTGTCTGATAGATTGCTTAAGTACGTTTTGTTTAGTTGTTTTTCTGGAGTTTTGTTCTTTTGTTTCATTTGGGACATGTTTCTTTGTCTCTTCATTTCGGCAGCCTCCCAAAGGAGGCTGTGCTTGTTTCTATGTAATAGGTAGAGCTGCTATGACTCCCTGTCTGGGTAGACTGTTGTAGAACAGCGCAAAGGTAAGTTGGTTGGGGGGGTGGAGCCTTAGGTAATCACCAGGGTGGAGCAACCCACCTGAATCAGGTTGATGGAGTTTGTGATTTGGTGTTGCTGCTATGAGGCTCAGTGGCTCTGTGTGGGGGAGGGTTCAGAAAGGGGACAATCCTGCTGCCTGGTCTCTGGAGTTTTGTCTGGGAGGAAGCTATCCCTCTGCACTCACCCTGATGTCAGACACTTCAGTTTCTCCCCTTGTATTACAGGTGCCCTTCTAGCTGCTGCCCCAGTGCTGAAACCCAGAGGGTGTGCTCTGTGTAAGTCCTGAGTCCATTACAGGCCCTTTAAGAGGAGATTCCTGAGAATTCTTCCACCACCCCAACCCTCACTGGTTTTTACAGTCAGAAGTTATGGGGACTTATCTTCCTGGCACTGGAACCTCAGGCCGGGAGGTCTGGTATGAGGCTGGGACCCCTCACTCCTGAGGCATCCCTCCCAATTTTTATCTCCCACATGTGGGTGTGGGGCTGCCCACGGTTCTGCACCTCCACGTCTCAGTGCCTGTCCATGTCTCTGCCCCTCTGACCTGTCTGGGTGGATGTGACTTTATGTCCTTGGTCGTCAGGGTGGTATTTGTTTTGTAGCCTAGGTGTAATTGTTGTCAAAATTTCTTCACTTACTCTGTAATTCTTTCACTGAAAATGGAGTTTTCATTTTACCTGGCTAACTTTAAATGACATCTTGACACTAAAAAGGTCAAACATTCATACAAAATATGAAACAGGGCCAAGACCAAATAATTACCAGTGGTTAATGTATTCATTTTTTGTTCAGTGAATTCACATGCATGAAGTTTCCATATACCAGGACTATATTAGAATTCCATAATCACACATCTACAGAATGCATATGCTACCAGTTTTGACAGGCAGACTAATGTCCCATGCCTCTAACAGGACAGTCCTGTTATGCATTCTGAGTCATGAACACACACCAGTAGTGCCAAGTGACACAGGTATAAAATAGGGCTCATTAGAGGACAGACTTACAAGGAGGAAGTAGTCGTGTGCAGGCAAACCCTCAAATCTACTTATTGCACAGCTCAGGCCAGGCAGAGAGGGCCTCCGTGCACTGTGGCCAACGTGCCAACACAGTGGGGCCCCTGGGCCTTTAATTCATGTGTTTACAGTGATGAGGTCTTGTGAGTTAAAGTGGAGAACGGCTGTGACACTAAGGAAGGCTTCCTGGTCGGAAAAGGGGAGCCTCCGGAGTCTCGTGGCTGGTATCTGCCTATTTGATGGGTCTAATTCAGACTTGCTGAGCCTGCATTTCCGTATCTTTTAAAAGAAGAGGGGCAAGAGGTTGAGGTTAACATTTGATAACTGCTATTCTATCACAAGTGAATTTAGTAGTTGAAAGATGTGATACCATTCCTAAACATATTATTCAGTTTTCATACCATGAATTCTAGCCCTCTGCAGCAAATTTAATGGGGATGGCTAACCGGGAGCCCTTTGGACCTTGAGATTTGATTGTTTGACTAGCAGTACAATTATTTCCAAGTTTAGTAAGAACAGTTAACCACCAGAGGGCAGTCCGATTACAAGGCAGTAGGGACTGATGTGAGCCTCAGGTGGAGAGTAAGGTATACATTCCCAGGAAGTACGCCTGTTGTAACCCACCCCAACATTCTTTTCACATTGTTTCTGTAGTGCTGACTCTGACTGATATATAACTTGTAGATAAACAGCACATTAGTATAAGAGTTCTCAGAACTAACTTTAAAGGACGCAGACTCTAACCCTCAGGCATTCCAGCTCTGGGAGATTTGCTGACCTTCAACTGCGAAGACTAGGATGAAGTAAAACGAGGATGACAAGAACCAGGGTGATGAACACCAGACCACTGCTTGGCCAGCTTTAAGGTCCTCAGCAGAATATATTGTGCTTGTCTGCATGTAGAAAACTTTTCAACACCCTCCCCCGATCTCTGTTCTGCTCCCTATCTCTGTCCTTATTAAAACCTCTGCCTGCACTGAGATGTTAAGATGATCTCTGGGACGAGCGTCCCCCATCTTCTCACAGTGCTGGCACTTGAACAAAGCCTCTTTCCTTACATCAGCACCTGCCTCTCGAGTACTGGCTTTTGAAGTGGGAGGCAGTTGAACCTGGGTTTGGCACACTGTGACTTTTAAAATTCTGATTTCAATTAAATTTCATGAAAATGTTATTGCCTGCTAAGATTGTGTCACTCAACTCTGACGTGTTCACGTGTGCTGGGTGTGGTGTTTCCTCACACCGCCAAGCAACTCTCAGACACCAGTTGGGTGTCCTACATTTTAACTCACTCTGACACTATCTACCAGAGGGAGCATCAGATTCCACATACTAAGGGCTCTATCTTATAACATGGCTCCCCCACCCCCGCTTCAGACTCCAATTGCAAGTCCAAGTTGTCACCTGGGCTTCTGACCCACTATAATTCTTTATGGCTAAGTAGTCTGTGCTTTTTGATGACTAATAAGCAGTGTATTTGGAAGCTTCTACAGGAGATAAGTCTCTTGGAGATTCTTAACACTGCAGCCAGAGTAGCCCTAAAAAAAGTCCCTCCTCTACTCCAAATCCTGCAATGGTTCTCCATTTCACTAAGTAAAAACCAGTCTTGCTGTTCGCCACCTGCTTTCACCTTGACCTCATCTAGTACTAGGCATGATCCTGCCTTAGGACCTTCTCATACTTGTTCCCTCTGTCTGAAATGCACTTCTTTTTTTTTTTAATAAATTTTTATAAGATTTTATTTACTTACCTTTAGAGGGCAAGGGAAGGAGAGAGGGAGAGAAACATCAATGTACAGTTGCCTTTTGTGCGTCCCCTGCTGGGAACTGCCCTGCAGGGGCAGTTGAACCGCGATTGTCTGGTTCGCAGGCCCGCGCTCAATCCACTGAGCTACACCAGCCAGGGCTGAAATGCACTTCTGATGAACTCCTCCTTTCATGTGATTAATTTGCTAGAGTGGCTCACAGAACTCAGAGAAACTATTTTACACACTAGATTTCTGATGCATTTGCTGATGTACCATAAAAAAATATAACTCAGGAATGGCCAGGAGGAAGAGATGCCTATAGCAAGATACAGAGAAAAGGTGTGGAGCCCCCATGTTCTCTGAGGGTGCCACTCTCCCAGCACCTCCATGTGTTCACCAACCTGGAAGCTCGCTGCACCCCCTCCTTCTTGTGTTTTCATGGAGACTTCATTACGCAGGCATGGCTGATTCCACCTCCAGCTCCTCTCCCTGCCCCAGAGGTCAGGCAGGTGGGACTGAAAGTTCCAGCCCCTTAATCCCATGGTTGGTTCTTCAGGCAACCAGACCCATCCTTAGGTTTGGTCCAGAAGTCATCTTCATTTCTCTCATCACTTAGGAAATGCCAAGGGTTTTAGGAGTTCTGTGCCAGAAACAGGGATTAAAACCAAATATATATTTCTTATTATAGATTTCAACACCACACCTGCCTACTTCATGCTGTGTTCTGTGTTATGCTGGGAGTCCAATGACTAATAATGCCTTCTAAACAGCACACAGCCAAAACAGGCCATGTTAAGGTGGGAAGCATGGCTGCATATTCACAGTGGGGTTTCTTTCCATTCATTCAGCAAGTCTGTATCAGGCGCTTACTATGTGCCAGCTGCTGAACTCAGGTTTGTGAGTTAACAAAGCAAAGATTCCTGACATTGTGGAACGGACATCCTAGTGGGAGGACAGACCAAATAAAAACAAAAATAAATAAGTAAATTATGAAGTGTGTTAGGAGATAAGTGCTGTGGAACACAGGTAAAGCAGAGCTGTGTAGGGGCCGGGGGAACTTGGGGTTCAGGTAACAAGTTTGCAGTTCTAGGGAGCGTGGTTAGAATAGGCCTTTGTGGGGAGACATTGGACCAAAACTGAGGTGAGGGAATAGGCCGTGTGGTGCTCTGGGGAAACGTTTGCATTTCAGGCAGAGGGAACAAGTATGAGAAGGTCCTAAGGCAGGACTGTCCTTAGTACTAGATGAGGTCAAGGTAAAAAAGCAGGTGGCTAACAGGAAGTCTTTGGTTTTTACTTAGTGAAATGGAGAACGGCTGCAGGATTTGGAGTAGAGAAGGGACATTTAAAAAAATTTTATTTAGTTATTTTTCAACTATAGTTTTTTGTCTATTTCTCCCATCCCAGCCTCCCCCACCCTGTGCTCCCCACCTCCCTCCCATTTCCACCCCCCTTAGTTCTCGTCCCTGTGTTCTTCATATTTGTTCCTCCAAATTCCTCCCCTATTTCCCCCTTAAATTCCCTTCCCTCTCCCCTCTGGTCACTGTCCCCTTGTTCTCTATTTCAGCGTCTTTGTTTTTTTTTGAGGAGGGACATTTTTTTAGGGCTACTCTGGCTGCAGTGTTAAGAATCTCCAAGAGACTTATCTTCTGTAGAAGCTTCCCAATACTCTGTTTATCACTCATCAAAAAGCACAGACTTGGCTGTAAAAAAAGAAGGAAATCTTACCTTTTGCAACAGCATGGATGGACCTGGACAGTATTATGCTAAGTGAAATAAGCCAGTCAGAGAAAGACATGTGCTGTATGATTTCACTCATACGTGGAATCTAAGGAACAAAATAAGCTAACAAATAAAATGGAAACAGACTTATAGATACAGGGAACAGACTGGCAGCTGTCAGAGGGGAGGGGTGGAGTTCAGGGACTGGGTGAAAAAGGTCAAGGGATCAAGAAAGAGGCAAAGCTCATAGACACAGACAACAGTATGGGGATTCCCAGAGGGAGAGAAGTAAAAGGGGGATAAAGGGTGACGGGAGGAGACTTGACTTTGGGTGGTGAACACACAATACAATATACAGATAATGTATTATAGAATTGTATACCTGAAACCTATATTTTTATTAACTAATGTCACCCCAATACATTCATTTAAAAAGGGGAGAAGCACAGAGAATGACGATTAAAGTTAACCATATCCTGTCACCATTTAGCTAATAGCAGCCAATGCAAAGATATCCTCACTGTGCCATGTGCTTGGTACTGTGCCAAGCACTTTACACACCTTCCCACTCAATCTTTCCAATGCTTCTGTGATGGTGTCCCCACTATTAGCTCTATTTTAAAGATAAGAAAAAGGCAATTGTAAAAGTTTGTGACTCATCCAAGATTGAGATTAAGTGTGTAAATGGAATTCTTGAAAGCTGTAACTTAAAGCAGAACACCACTTATACATGTGAAGAAACATAGCCTAAGCAAGGCTTAGTACTGTAGTGCTGAGGAAGTAAAGATGGTGATGGCGGGGGTGCTGGGAAGAGCAAAATGTTTGATTTCAATCACCCCTTGCTTCTCTGAAGTTCTGTCTAGCCATCACACCATGAACTTATTACCCACATGGCAACTGGACTGACTTCTGTACTGTTGATTTTTAAGTTTCCCTCTAGAGTTTGGCCTCTCTGTAGTCTGTTCTATACAGATTTGGGCTTTTAAGGAGCAGTACCCGTCACCGAACCAAGGGTGTTCAACTTAAACTTCAGTGGTTTAAAATCTCCCTCAGGCAGTGCTGCTAGGAGGAATGTTTCAGGAAGGGTGCTAGTCGGTGACAAGGTGAGCGAAGAAATTGAGTGTTCATAAACTTTCTAGCCATTTTAATGGTAATTTTATGTCTGCTGAAGCTTATAAATTGGGGGCTTATATTTAGTATATCTTGTTTTTAAACTTCACTTTTCATATAATTTATTTTTATAGTGTTTTGAGAGGCTGAATATACCGTGATCTGACCCTATATAAGAACAGAACTCTCACCCCGAACCTGCAGCTGCAACCTGTCTAGGAAAACAACCCCTTATACGATAATCAGCCTAGAAAAGCAGCCTTTCTAGGATATTAGACTTAGCCAGATAGCCAGTTTTAGTAACAACCCAGGAAGCTAAACAGTAACTTCTGACTGTTGGCCCCAAATGGCCAGGACTTGATTAAAAACTGACAGCTTCCCTAATTTTTGTCTCTACTTCCAACTCACAACCAACCGCTGAAAGCCAACATGACTAGCTGACCACAACAGATGCCCCGCTTCTAGTCAGTCTGCCTACCCCGTTCCCACACCCTCCAGTGAGGGCATACCTAAAGCCTCCCCTTCTGCTCACTGTCAACCTTTCCCATTCCTCTTGCCTGCCTTTGAGTCTCTGCCAAAATGTAAGTGACGGGAGGCTGACTCTCTCTACAGCAAGCTATGAATAAACTGCCTTTGCATTTGGTTGGTCTTCACTTATTTCCACATGCCAGAAAAATAAGAAAAGGAAATATCAAATCAAATCAAAACAAAACCCGGGTCCGCCACAACAGAAATCTTGAGGAATATTGTGCTGGGGTTCGCAGGTCGCTTCCAGGTAGGGACCGGCAAGGCAAAGGAGGGCATCCTGGCACGCACCTCTGGGAGCGCAAGTATAACGTGGTCGCCGGATTCCCTGGCTAGGAATGGCTCAGTGGATCGAGTGGACCGGTAACCCGAGCGCGGAAAATCAGCTACCACTTGCTTTTTCACGAATCCTAGACACACAGTACGGGTGGAGCTTCTGCGCATGCTCTCCGCGCACGCGCACTCCCCGCTTTACGCCGCGGACTGGGTTAACGTCACGTCCGCCGACGCTGCCGCGGGTGGCTGGACGCTTTCTCTTAGGTGGGACGCAGTGGGCCCTGTGGCCCCGTTGTTTTCTTCCTTGTGGCTGGGCCACCAGTGACGCCCTTGACCCCCTGGCCGGCCATCACGTCGCCCGCCCGCCGGTCAGCGCCTGTGGTCTGGTTTCCGCGGTCTCCCCGGGACCACTTAGTCTCAACCCGGGTTTCCTCTACTGGAGGTGAAGCATAAGAGTTGGGACCTGGGGCCTTAGAGCAGGCTGTGTTTCCTTTTCCTTCAGGATCAGGTGTGCGGTCAAGGGCAAGAAAGTAATTTACAACATTTCCTTCAAGAGGATGCGTTTGTCGTTGTGCAATGTGAGACTGGGTTCCTTAGACAACAGACGCCGTATCGCCGTGCAGCTCTATGGATGCTTTGAAGTAACGACCCATATTCATTTAGCATTTTAATGCTTTGGAATTTTGTCCTTAAACAGTTTGGTCCCTAAAACTCAGGATCCTTTAGATTTTCTCATTTTAGGCGAATCCTAATCTTTCCTGTGGCCCAATTGGCTCACAGCGTATTTTTTCTATAAGGAAGTTCTTGGCATTTTGGACCTGGACCCTCCTGTGATCACTGAGGATATTAGAATTTGTAAAACCCTAGATTATATTCTTTTTTGCACTGGCACGTTAAGCATTTGGGTCGGGCAGTGCAATACTTTTTTGGGGAAATGCATTACATTCATTATATTCTTAAAACCTAACCTGACCTTTTCGTGATGACTTGCTTTTAATCATTTGAAAGTTATTGTGAAAAAACATAATACCTCTGAATATTTTGAGTTTTGATGACATTTTAAGTTGTTCTGCTTCCAACTTTGTGGCATCACTATCAACCAGCTACATTCCTGTGTCTTCTGGTTTATGATTTAATGCTATTAAACTTTCTGGGTTTTGAATTTTGACAATCACATTTACTAGAATTGTGTTTAAAGGAAATCTAAGTGTGGAACTTGTGGCTTTTTGATTTTTCATTTTACAAAATGCCGTTTTTGGAAAACACAGACTAGGAAAAGAACATTTAAAATTATCTGGAATTCTTCTACCTAAAGATAACCACTGTTAACATTTCAGAATTTAGTCTAATTTCTTTTTTTTAACACATAGCATTTTAAATCAAACAGAACCATAGTGTATACTATTCGGTAACACCTTGGGCATGACATCTTGTCTTCCTGCTTCACTCATTGTTTTCTTCGAACATGTATTTCAGCTAGGTGCTTTCATAAATAAAGTAGGATCCTTAGTGCATGAACCTTGTGCCATCTATTTTAGCCACTCAGAGGCCTTTGGCTTTATGTCTTGGCTTTTGGCCAAAGTGCACAGGTGAGGTGGTGTAGGAGTTGTGTAAAAGGAAAGATTTAATATTGAGTCCTATGCAAGGGCAGACAGTTTATTATAGTATAATAGATTCACTGACAAGCTGGAAAAAAATCATTGAAAATTTTAGTTCTTCATTTTTGTTTCTAAACTCACTTTTTCCCCTTCTACTTTTTGTCTCTCTCTTCTCCAAGAATGAAACATGACTGAGGATTCTCAGAGAAACTTTCGTTCAGTATATTATGAGAAAGTGGGGTTTCGTGGAGTTGAAGAAAAGAAATCATTAGAAATCCTCCTAAAAGATGACCGTTTGGGTGAGTTTTATGAGTTAAACTAAGTCTACTGGTTGTCATGCCAAATGTCCTGAAATAAATGTTACCTTAAGAGACATCCAGAGATATTTGTTACCTGCTGTATTTTTTAGTGCTAGGAAGACAGCAGAATGGTATATATATTTTGGGAGAAGTTACGGATTTTTCAAGTATCTATTTCACTGAGGGCCAGATGTTTTTGAAAGGCCTCTTAAGTCACTGATATTTTTCTCTCCCATTAGGCGTATGTTTTCTTTTCTCAATTTTTCAGAGGTGTCGTCATTGCTTCTGGGTAAATTTACGACAACTCTTGCCATGATTTTCTTGTATGGAAATACTGAGACTGAAATATATACATTTTAGTTTCTTCCAAGCCAGTAATAATAAGGTCTGTTCTGTGTTTGATGGAGTAAAAGAAACTGAACCATAGTTAAAAGTAGTACTTTATATGCATATAATACTTTTAAAATTTCAAAAACATTTCTTATCTGATCTTTGATCCTGGCTAGACAGTCTGTCCTTCTAAGTATTTCCGGTATTATTGAAGGGTAGGGAAATTTAGGTCCAGGACAGCTGAGTGTGCTTTATGAGAAAAGACAGGATTTGAGGACTGACTCTGCCATTCATTTGCTGTGTTAACTCAGTCAAGTTACTTACCTGCTTTGAGCTTCAGTTTCTTCATCTTTAAAACAATAACTAGCCAACAAGCTGGCAAGGTGGATTAAATGAAATGCCATACATTATATAAATAGTATCTATTGCTAATATTTTTGGAAATGTAGTAATTTTAGGCAAAATGTGTCTCCTACATTGTGAAACACTTGAAGTGTCTTTAAATAACTCTTTGGTGGAACCCATGGTCCAGAAATCAGACCAGTGCTGCCTTTCTTGGATTTCCTGACCGTTCGGTAGGCTTGCTCTGAGGAAATGTCTTACTAGACTTTAAGTTGTAAGCAACGAAATGCACTATTATATATTGTGACCAACATGAAAAGCTTTTAACTGTTGTTTTTTTTTTCCTTCTAGATATTGAGAAACTTTGTACTTTTAGTCAAAGATTCCCTCTCCCATCCATGTACCGTGCATTGGTATGGAAGGTGCTTCTAGGTATGAGACCCAAGAGTTGGAAATTGTTCATTTGTCATGTCTGTCGAAAAAAGGATAATTTGTTTAGGCTCTTACTGAATATTGAGTCTAATCTTAGGAGACTGAGTTACCACTCACTATAATTGCCTAAAGGAGGTGACTTCAGTGGCAAAACATTAAATATGACTCTAAGAGTGTCAGTTTATTAATGATAGAAGAGAAAGTAATATATGCGTTCCTGAGGCAAAGTGTGGGAAGAGCATTGTACTGGGAGAAAGGACTGGTTTAGGCTTTGCTGTCAACTGATAACCTTGAGAAAGACCCTGCTAGAGCCCTGACTGGTGTGGCTCAGTGGATAGGGGGTCATCCTGCACGTTGAAGGGTCGCTGTTTTGAGTCCCTGTGGGGGCTCATGTTGTGGGCCCAGTTCTTGGTTAGAGGTGTGCCAGAGGCAACCAATCAGTGTTCGTCTTGCACATCCATGTTTCTTTCCTTGTCTTTCTCTCCCCCTCTTCCCGTCTCTCTAAAAATAAATAAATAAAATCTTTTTTTTTTTAAACAGTCTGCTAGGCCTCAGTTTTTGCTAAATTAATTTTTAGGTTTTAGCTCCCAATTTGTCATTCCTGTGATTTGTAGTCATAGAGGTATACTTCTACAGAGTGCTATCAGAGTCAGAAGGAATTGGAGAGTTTTTACTTTCCAGAAGCACAAATGAATCAATTCCAGTGAAGGGGAAGGAAAAAGGATCTTACTCAGTTTCTGTGGGAGAAAAAGTATATTAGGTGCCAAGTGACTGGCATTAATCCTTTTTAGCCAAAAGGGATGATTTTTAAAATTTTTCTATCATTGCTAGGCCTGCTGACACATATACCACCTTCCTTTTCTTTTAAAAAAAAAATTAGAGTAAACCTAGAATGTCCCTGTGATTCTCCCAGTATCAGTATCCCAATTTTAGAGAAGGGGACCGCACCGTGAAGCTGAACAACTTGCCTAAGGCAATACAGCCTGTCATCAGCAGAGCTAGGCTTTGAGTTCAGGTTGGCAGAGCCTGTGTGGAGGTAGGATAGGTTGTAGACCTCATCTTCTTTCCAAAATGTACTGTATATTCAGGACTTCAAAATTCTTAGTCCTAAGTCTGACTACAGACTATTCCACGAAGCACTGCATAATGACTTTTCTGTTTGCATCTTGGTTGTCTTTGTATACTTATATTTCTGGTAGGTTACTGTCCAGCTAAAATCTAGAGAGTGGATGACAACCAGTAGGTTTTTCTTTTTAAAAGAAAATATTTTAAAGTATATTTTATTGATGATGCTATTACAATTTCCCAATTTTTTCCCCTTCTCTTTGCACAACCCCCACCTCCAGCCTTCCCTGCCCACATCCTCCCCAGCCCCTCCTGACCCTGCTTAGTTCATGTCCATGGGTCATACATGTAAGTTCTTTGGCTTCTCCATTTCCTATACTATTCTTAACCTCCCTCTGTCTGTTTAGTACTCACCAGTTATGCTTCTTATTCCCTATACCTTCCCCCATTCTCCCCCCCCCCAGTGATAACCCTTTATGTGATCTCTATTTCTGCGATTCTTTTCCTGTTGTAGTTTGCTTAGTTTTGTTTTTGAGGTTCAGTTGTTGATAGTTGTGAGTTTGTTGTCATTTTACTGTTCATAGATTTTAATCTTCTGTTTCTTAGATAAGTCCTTTTAATATTTCATATAATAAGGGCTTGGTGATGATGAACTCCTGTAACTTGACCTTATCTGGGAAGCACTTTATCTGCCCTTCCATTCTAAGTGATTGCTTTGCTGGATAGAGCCATCTCAAATGTAGGTCCTTGCCTTTCATGACTTTGAATACTTCTTTCCAGCACTTCTTGCCTGTAAAGTTTCTTTTGAGAAGTCAGCTGATAGTCCTATGGGAACTCCTTTGTAGGTAACTGTCTTCTCTTCTCTTGCTGCTTTTAAGGTTCTCTCCTTGTCTTTAATCTTGGGTAATGTAATTATGATGTAGCTTGGTGTGTTCCTCCTTGGGTCCAACTTCTTTGGGACTCTCTGAGCTTCCTGGACTTCCTGGAAGTCTGTTTTCTTTGCTAGATTGAAGGAGTTTTCCTTCATTATTTGTTCATATAAGTTCAGTTTCTTGCTCTTCCTCTTCTCCTTCTGGCACCCTTATATTTGGATGTCGTAACGTTTAAAGTTGTTCCAGAGGTTCCTAAGCCTCTCCTCATTTTTTTCGGTTCTTGTTCCTTCATTCTGTTCCAGTTGGATGTTTACTTCTTCCTTTTATTCCAAATCATTGATATGAGTCCTGGTTTCCTTCTTGTCACTGTTGGTTCCCTGTATATTTTCCTTTATTTCACTTTGTATAGCCTTCATTTCTTACTTCATTTTGCCATCAAGCTCAATCATTTCATGAGCATTCTGATTACCAGTGTTTTGAACTTTGCATCAGATAGGTTGCCTATCTCCTTTTCGCTTAGTTCTTTTTCTGGTGATCTGTTCTTTCATTTGAGCCATTTTTCTTTGTTTCAGCATATCTGTTAATGTTGGAAGGGGTGGAGCCTTAGGTATTCCAGGCTCCACCAGGGTGGGGCAACCCACTTGGCTGCATTGTGGTGCTGTCTGTGGGGGAGGAGTCAGAGAGGGAACAATGCCACTCGCTTGGCTCTGTCCCCACTTTCTGTCACTTTCCTTGCTTCCCACAAGTGGATTGTGCCCTTGTAGGTGCTGAATCCTGAATGGGAGGGTTTGTATATGTTCTAGGACCCCATGGGTCTCCCCAGTGGACTCCCCTTTGAGACTGAGAGTTTCTCTCACTGCCATAACCCCCACCCCTACAGATTTTACAGCCAGAGGTTTTGAGTCTTTGGTTTCCCTGAGTGGAAACCCTAGGTTTTGCAGTCTGTTTTGCTCCCCAATTATTCTTCCTGGCTTATCTACACACTAATGTGGGACCATCACGTTAGCCAGCCCTCGCCTTGCCCACCCGGTCCTCTGCCTTGCCCTGCCCTGCGCTGCATCCTTTCTGCCCCTGTCTCGGCCCCTCCTACTAGTCTGAATGAATATTTCTTTAACTCCTTGGTTGTCAGACTTCAATGCAGTTTGATTTTCTGCAGTTATGGTTGTCTGTCTGTCTTTTTTTAAAAATTTTATTCTTGTTTTTAAAGTTTTTTAAAAAACTTACTTTGAGAGAAAGGGCAGGAAGGGAGAAAGAGAAGGAGAGAAGCATCAATGTGTGGTTGCCTTCCACGCACCCCCAACTGGGGACCTGGCCCATAACAGGCATGTGCCCTGCTAGGAACTGAACTGGTGAACCTTTGGTTCACAGGCTGATGCTGCCACTGAGACACACTAGCCAGGGCTGGTTGTCCTGTGTTTTTAAATTAGTCGTTATCTTTCTTTTGGTTGTACAAGGAAGGGAAGCATTTCTACCTGTGCCTCCATCCTGGCCTGAACTCTTAATAATATTTTTTTCTTGAGCATATTTCTTAAATCTTAGTGTTTCCACTGGTCATCAAAATAAGAATGCTTTTTAGGTGGCAGGGTCAGTACTGTTTCTGTTGGGAAATACTGTGTGTCTTATTAATCAGTAATGCCTGTGGATTCGTGAGAGAGGTACAGTCGTGCTTCGTGGCACTGCCGCGTGCCAAGGCCATCTTCCTGGTTCATCACTGTATTTTCCCTGTCTCTATCAGTCTTTGTTGTTATTTTTGCAGTAGTTAAAGGCCCTGGAGATTGAGGACTACCATGCCCTGCAGGAGACAGGCTGACTCTTCCTAGTATAGGTTGTTGTTTGCTCAGGGGTTTTGTCATGCCTACTTCATGATAACATTTTAGGTAAATATCAGAACGAGGCTTTTTAGGACTAGGTCTTAGAAAACAAGCTTGAGGTTTCACAGGGGAACACTGTGCTACCTCTAGAAGTACGACAAGGATTTAAGTACAGCTGTTTAATCTGTACTGTTTTAGTGCAAAGTTGGAGACCATGTGAATGGATTCCTTCAGCTTTTCTGGAAGCCTGGCACAGAGCCCCGTAGCTAAGGTAACTAACAATTTGCGTCAGGCAAAAGAACATTTAAGCAAGTTGGGTTGTAACATTAACATAGCATCATGTTAGCTGCAGTCTGTAGAGCCCATCCAACTTCTATTTCTCATGTGTTCTTTAGAATACTGGATCCGTGGTGTTTTGCATCAAAGAGTGGTCCATATAGTTAAGTGTGCTAACTAACACACTGCCGTAGTATGTGCTATATACTTTCTGGTGCTTTCTGTATATACATTTCTTATTCAGCACAACAGTTTGAGAATGAGGTTGTGATTCACATTTTCAGATGGAAAAGCCAAGGCATAAGGAGATCAGCTAAGTTGCTGAGGGCCACCCACCATTAGTTATAGAGCTAGAACTCAAACCCAGGGACTCTGACTCCACAGTCTGTGCTGCTGTATAGTTGGGTTAAGTTTAATGAGGCTGGAATAAATAAAGAAGCATGTTTTTCTTTTTCCTTTTTTAAAAAGATTTTATTCATTTATTCTTAGAGAGAGGGGAAGGGAGGGAGAAAGAGAGGAGAGAATTAGTGTGTGGTTGCCTCTCGAATGCCGCCTACTAGGGACCTGGCCCGAAACCCAGGCATGTGCACTGACTGGGAATTGAATGGGCGACCCTTTGGTTCACGAGGCCTGTGCTCAATTCACTGAGCTACACCAGCCAGGGTGAAACATGTTTTTCTTTATACCAAAACTTAGAGACTTGAACATTCATCATCACCATTTTCCAAATCTATTTGACCGCATGTCCCTTTTCCCATGAGGACTCCAGGGAACTAGTGTTCTGCAGAGAACATTTGAAATGCTTATCCCTCCCATTTTCCAGCCCTGGCAGATATTCATGAGACCTGATGTTCCCAGGTCTGGGGCTAGAACCAACGTGTACTACAGGCCTATCCTGTGCTCTTTCCACTGTTTTCTCCATGCCATTTGTTTGTAAAAAGGTTCTAGCTCCAAAGTCTGATGGGTAGACGTTATGTTTAAATGGGTTAATGAGTATAAAATGGTATTGAAATGTAATGTTAGGTGGTCTTGTCAGTGCAGATTAGAGATTTCTGTGGTCCTGAGGATGGGATACTTTGTGAGCAAGCTGTGATTGTTGGGGAAGAGGATTTAACGGGTAACTGGTGGTTCTGAGATGAAGGGGGCTATATTGTCAGCTAGGACTGCTATACCAGAATGCTGCAGACTGAGTGGCTTAAAGAACGATTTATATTCTTGTGGTTCTAGAGGCTGTGAAGTCTCCAGGTGCTGGCTAATTTGGCTCTTGGTGAAGCCTCACTTCCTGGCTCTCAGATGGCCAGCTGTCTATGGCATGTGTCCTCACATGGCAGAGTGAGGGAGCTCTGGTGTCTCTTCTTACAAGGGTACCAGCCCCTTACCCCCCCCCAGCCCCACCACCCAGTAACCTCATTTAACAGGGCCTTCCTTATAGGCCCTGTCACCAGATATAGTCACATTGGGGGTTAGGACTGCAACAGATGAATTTGGAGGGGACACAGTTCAGTCCATAGTGTGGGTAAGTACAAAAAATGGACATGGACTCTAGGAGCTAAGGGTAGCCCCAGGTTGGCAATCATAATTGAATTATTATAATTGATATGGTTATTATTTTGAATTTAGATGGCATATCTAGGCAAGGGCTTTATGATACAGTTTTATTTATCTTTTATGTCAGTGATACAGTTGCCATTCAAATATTGATAGTATTGAAAATTTTTGATTCTTTTATAGTAAAAAATTCTAAAAGAGAATCTGTTTGCTAAAGAAATATTTGTGTGAGTTCTGGTTTAATTGTGATGGAGAGCTTTTCCCAGGATTCCCTTTAACAGAGGAGGATTTGGATTCGTGCCTCAGTGTTTTGCCCTTTTTTTCTGGGTCTCTGTAGGGATCCTGCCTCCACACCATGAGTCCCATGCGCAGGTGATGATGTATCGCAAGGGGCAGTACTCGGATGTCCTTCATGCCCTGAAAGTCGTTCGCTTTGTCAGTGATGCCACACCTCAGGTTGAAGTCTTTCTCCGCATGTATCAGCTGGAGTCTGGAAAGTTGCCTCGAAGCCCCTCCTTCCCACTGGTTAGTGGCACTTTTGTTCCACACCTCAACTGGAGCTCAGCTCCAGACTGTCCCATCTTGCTAGCCTTTGATTGCATCATGTTTTGCCTAAGAAACTTTCCATGGCTCACCTTTGTCTATAGAATAACTGCAACATCTTTCCCTGACATTCATGGCCCTATATATTCTGACCCTATCTGCCTGTTTTTTTAAATGCTACATTTTATTTTGAAGTAGTTTCAAACTTGTAGAACAGTTACAAGAATACTACCAAGAATTACCATATACCATTTACTCAGGTTCCCCAGTTGTCTACATTTTTAACCATTTGCTTTGTCATTTTTCTTATATATGTATGCATATTTTTTCAGACAAGCTCAGGTGTGCTCAGGGTGGTATGGCTGTAGACTATATGCATATTCTTCTGAAACATTTGAGAATAAGATGCAAACATGATATCCCATGACTTCATATTCCATCAGTGTATATTTCCTAAAGATAAGAGCACTCCCCTAGGTAACCATAGTACAGTCAGGAAACCAAGAAGTTGACACTGATACAATATTAACATCTGATCTTCAGACTCCATTCACATTTGACCAAATGTTCCAATAATCAAAGACACAATAAAGTTTTAGTTCAGAACTTACCCAAACTTTCACCCACTAGTTTTAACATTTGTTGATTTCAAATTTTTAGAAATCACTTCAGACATAGAAAAAAGTTGCAAAAATAGTATAGTGAGTTTAGTGTTCCCATATACCTTCATCTAGCATCTTCAGATGTTACATCTCACATACTGTAGTGTAATGATCAAAACCAGAACATCACTGATACAGTTACTATGAACTACTCTGTGCACATTCTCGACAGTTTGCTGATTGTCCCACTGATGTCCTTTTTCTGGCCCTGGATCCAACCTTTACAGTCATCCTTTACAAGGGTCACACTTTACATTTATTTCCAGGTCTTCTTTCTTAGTCTCCTTTAATCTGGGACAGTTCTTCAGTCTTTCTTTGTACAAACTTTCATAACCTGACATTTTCGAGGAGTACTGGGCAGTAGAGCATTTCTTAGTTTGGGTTGTTTGATGTTTCCTCGTGATTAATGCATTTTTGGCAGAAGAACCACAGAAGTATGACACTTACTACTGTTGCTGCTCACTTTGATCACTTGGTTACGGTGATGTCTGCTAGTTTCTCCAATGTACAGTAACTATTTTCCCCCTGTAATTAATAAGTAACATCTGGGGAGAAAGTTTTAGACTGTAAATGTCCATCTACTAAAGAGTCTTGCCCAAAACAATTTTTACTATGCTGATTGCCAAATAGTGATTTTCTAACTCTTTCATTCCTTTTGCCTTTATTAGTTTACATTCTTTTATGAGGAAGGTTTTCTCTTTCCCCTCATTAATTTATTTGTATCAGTATGAATTTATGGATTCCTTTTATTCAGTGGCAGATAATCCATTACGACCGTTCTTTATTTTGGTATTCAAATGGTCTCAGATTTGGCCAATGGTTTCATCAAGCTGACTTCTATGTCTTTTTGACAAGTTCCCATTATTTTGAGCTGTTCCTTACTTTCTGACACAAAAAGATATTCCAGGTTCATCTTTTACTTTCCCTGCCTCGGGCCTGCAGTCTGCCTCACCTCTCCATCCATGGGGTGTGGTGTTTAGTATCATTGTTTCTGTGCCCTCTCAGCAGAAGGAGCTAGGAAATACTTGTGTGCACACACATTCACATACATACTTACACACATCTATGTATGTTTGCATATCAGTTTATCTCAATATTTTGAAAATCCTGAGTTCACCCTAATACTCCAAATACAATGCAGTATCGTATTCATTCTAACTAGCCTTTACCCTTTTTATGTTGTAACCTCCTTCTCTGACAGTTGTAAATGTGAAGAGGCCCCCAGTACCCTCAGTATATTTACTTCTTTGCTTGTTCCTCTGTCATCATCATTGCTGGCCACCTCTTGGCTCTGGCCTGCAGGCGCCATGGGCCTTGTCGTCCCTCCCTGGCCGCCTCCTCGGCCTCAGCCCCACAGGCCCCAGCCTGCTTTTTAAACTTCATCTTAGGTAAACTCCTTACTCTAGTTTCTTGGACTACTTATTGTTTGTAATGGGACGAGATGGGGAAGAGGAAGAGTTCAGGCAAAGGAATGATTATAGCTCTTGAGCTTTGGCTATTGTAATGCAGTTTGAAATTTACTCTAGGCCCCTAGCAGTGTGGGGGGCGGGGCTAAAGCAGAGGGAATTGTTCAAAATAGGGATTTGGATGAAAGCTGTGCTATCTATAAAATCTATTTTATTCTTTTATTGCAAATGAAAGCCTGCCACGGTAGCAGCTTGAGCTTTGAATTGTTCTTTCTTTTTGAAGTTAATGATGTGTTTCCCGTGGACACCCATAGGTCACCCACTTTTATTAAGCTTATCAAGAGAGAATGGCCCTGGAAATAATTTGAACTCTTACCAGGCTTCTTTACATTTTGCTTATCTTTGGCAAGCTGAGGTTGGTAGTACTGCATAAGTTCTTAAATTATATATTAAGTTAGGTTAGATTATCTGTTCGTTCAGGAATGATAGGTTGCGGTTGTCACCTCAGCCCTGCTCAGCCTGTCTGGTCTTCAAGCCCAGACACCTCCACTGTGGCCCGGGCAGAGGTGCCGTCAGAGTGTGGGTGGTGGGCTCTGCAACGCGCATCTCCCTGATGAACCAGCCCCACTCAGCCTCTCTGTTCATGTCCATTAGTAAGAATGTGTCAGAGTGCCTGGCACATGGCCGGGAACGTGGTCAGTCAGGGACATTGGTCCCCTTCCTGGGGCACCCACGATGGCCGGGCTCAGCAGAGAAATGCCGTGTTCAGGAGCACCCAGCCCAGTGCTCAGCACTCTGTGGGAGCCCAGGAAAGGAGCTTCCCCGCCCTTTCTTCGGCCTCTGCTCTCTTCCTCTGACAAGTTAGTTAATGTCTAGGAAAATGTATCGTCTACAGTTTTATTACTTGACATTTTATAGACTATTAGTAAGTTGAAAGGAGGCCTAAAATGAAATACTTTTATTTAGAGTAGAAATTTTTATTTAACTTGGGACATTTTAGGGAAGTAGAAAGACACTTTTTAGTTTCTTTTTGACATTAAAATCCCTCAGCTCTTACATCCTAGATGAAAGTACATTTTTGTGTAAGATGTGGTGTTTGGAAACAAAACAGATTTTCAAGCAGATTTCTTTGTTAAAATTTACTTGAGATTTATTTTAATGTTCTGAGTATTGACACAAAGTTTGAGAAATGCCATTCTTCTGATTCCTGATATTCTGATTCTAGAGACATTTTAACTTTTTAGGTGCTTGCAGATAGAACAAAATTCTAAGGGGTTTTTTAATGCTTTGAAATAAAGAAGATGCTTTCTTAGTTCTTTTGGAGTCATTTAATTTTTGGAAATTACCATATTAACAGATGTCTCCAATGATTATTTGTGTTGTGTACCACATGGTTTTTAAAGAAATTCTCCTCTGATACAGAGACTTTTTTGGGTGGTGAGAAGCAGCACCTTGCCTCTGGTACATGTTGATTCTTTATGGATGACCTTAAGGGTAGAAGTTGGAAATCTCCGAGTGGTCAGCCTGAAACCTGGTTGTTTATAAACAGTACTCCTTCAGATAGATTTCTGTGGTTAGTCATTCTTACATCCCCTTGGTCTTCTCTCTAGTGACGGACAGCGTGCTTTTTGGTTCCACTTTGATTTATTAGCCGCTTCAAAATTTAGTGGATAAGGCTTCATTGTTATCAAAGAAATATGTGTTCCTTACTTCTGCTGCCTCACTCTTGAGATTTATTATTAATCTTTCAGGAGCCAGAAGATGAAGTATTTCTTGCCATTGCTAAGGCCATGGAAGAGATGGTGGAAGATAGTGTCGACTGTTACTGGATCACCCGGTGCTTTGTGAACCAGTTAAACAACAAGTACCGAGACTCTTTGCCCCAGCTGGTGAGGGATACTTTTTTGGCTATTGGCAGGGGATGGGTGGGTGAGCAGAGGTTCTGGGAATCTTCAGGAAATACTCTCACCTCTTGGTGCTGCTACAATTATGAGTAGACCCTCTATAGTAGGAGTCAGCAAATATTTTCTGTAAAAGGCCAGGTAGTACAATAAATATTTCCAGCCTGGCAGGCCAGATGGTCTGTACGTCTCTGTCTATCTCTATGTCTATGTCTCTGTTGCCACACAAAAGCAGCTGTTGACAAAGGGGTTGTTGTGGCTGGGTTTGGCTGCTGCCGGCCATAGTTTGCACACCCTATTCTACAGTATTCCTTATGCTGGTCTGGAATCCACTGGCTTTATCTAGAATTGTCCCTCTGTATAAATTAAGGTTTAAATTTGGCTGCACTTAATGGAAAGACCCCCAAACAGAAGCTTTATTGTTTTCTTTCATGTAACTAGAAGTTCGGGGTGGGGGGCAGTCCAGGGCTGGTGCCACAGCACCACTGTACCGGGCGGGAACCAGGCTCCAGCATCCTTAGGGCTGATCCTTCCTCTTGTGCTCACAAGGTGGGTGCTTCAGAGACAGCCGTCACATCTGTGTTCTGGGCGGGCAGAAGGGGCAAGGAGGAGACAAAAGCACAAGAATGAAGGGACAAGCCAGTCAAGCCTGTCCCTTCTTAACAGACTTTCCTTCTGCATGTCAGTTAGTGGCAGGACCGTGTTACCTGGCCACCTGTCTGCAGTGGAGGCTGGAAAGTGTGCTTTTGCTTACCCAGACACGGTGGTCTCCCATGAACATGGGATTCTGTTAGTGAGAAGGAGAGGCGAATGGATCTGTGGGGGCAGCGGCCGTCTGCTGCCCTCTGACTTGAGAATCTGGAGAACTGAATGGCATTTGCTTCATCACCTGAGGCCTGTGGTCCTTTGCTGTTCTTTTTCTCCAGTTTCTTTCCTTCTTCTGCTCATTTATAAAAATGAATCTGTATTCTTAAATCACTGAGGTGTTTTATTTGAAAATTCTAGTAAAAGCAGGCACTGTGATGGAGGTGGCAGTGCCTGAGGCGGCCCTGCTGGTGAGGGGCGGTGGTCCCGAGGGTCCTGCTCCAGCGGCCCTGCAGCTGGGCAGAGCGCTAAGCAAGAGTGCTTTTTAATATTTAAGCTTTTTAATATTTGATTTAAGCTTTGATTTTGAGAATCTTAAAATTCAGTCCATTTAGTTGATTTCCAAAAACATTCAAGCATGATGTTGGAGCATCTGTAAATATAATTTTGGCTCATTAAATCAAGATATCCAAATTATTCCATGATTTAATTAGCCTTTCCTATTTAATGTTAGAGTAAATGCAGTAACACTTGAAAGCTTATGTTAAAAAAATTCATCCTTTATTTTTGATAACACAAATAATAGATAAATACATTCTTGAAGTACTAGTGCAAGTGAACCCAGTGTTCCCGTAGCTCTGTAACAGCACCTGTCCACCACCCATTTTCTGAGAAGTGAACATTGTCATCAGCTGGATGTGGATTGTTCGAGGGCATCTTATGTACATTAGGGGGGATGGGTGTGTGCGCGCACGTGTGTGCATACACACATATAATGATGTATATTTTACATATGTAAAGGTTTTTTAAAACACAAATATTACGACACTATTCATATGGCCCTACTTTTTTTTAAACATAATGTCTTGGAGGTTTTCCAAGTTGGTAAGATCAGTAGTTTTCAGCCCTGAATTCCTATTAGTACCATCTGGGAGCTTTTAAAAATTAGTGGTGCCTTTCCTCCACCCAGACCAATTAAGTCAGAATCTCTGGAGGTGAAGCCCAAGATTCTAATTTTTTAAAAGCTCCAGATGATTCTGATGTGTGGCTCGGGTTGAGAACTACTCATTTAGAACCACCTTTTTCCTTTTTAAAAAAAATCTGCTCACAGTATTTCTTATGAAGTATTTGGGATAATCGAACGTAACAGATCCACGCTGACACTCAGCATGTCCGTGTTCCTTTGGGTGTGTGTGTGTGGATGCTTCTCTCGGGTGGGTACCCATGAGGGCAGTGTGCACTTGAGGGAGGGGTGTATTTAACATTTTAACTGCCAGGTTGCTCACCTAGAAAATGTGCCAGTTTCGTTTGCTCCAAGAGATTATGAGATTTCCTGTTTTACATTTTATTGCTAATACTTGATAGTATCTATCCCTCAAATTTTTGTTAATCTGATAGTGAAATAGTATCCAATTTTAATGTACATATTCTCATTTTCTAGTGAAGTTGAGCATCTTTGAATGTTTATTAATCACTTATATTTGTCCACCTTTCTATTATTTTGTTTGCTTTTTTATTCGCAAGAGTTATTGATAACTCTGGACATTTATTCTGTTTATTACATCTGTTGAACATAGTTTTTCTTGTCTGTTTTACAAAGATTTTAAGTTTTGATGTAATTGATGTAATTGAATGTGTCATTATTGGTCTTTTGCTTTTTGTGTCTCATTTGAGAAGCTCTTTCTAATCTCAAGTTTAAAAAACAGGTTTTTCTTTAGTTGCCATCAATAAGAAATTTACTTGTTTTAGAAAAATCCAAATGCTGGCATTGTCTGGAAAAATTTAATGGGTTATTTATAGCTGTTATAAAGTTGAACTGCTGAAACTTGTTCGCCCAAATATATTGACTTACATAAATGCACAGTCAGTTAGCACATGGTACTTATACGATATTACACAAATGCTTTATGTCCCTGTATTTATACTTTAAAAATTCATACATGAATGAAAATGGAAAAACTGCTAATACTTTATTTTTGTCCCCTATTTTCCATTTTTAGTCGTGTACTTGGGTACCTTTTGACCCCATGGGGGGAAAAAAACCTAATGTTCAGAACTACCAATAACAGGAAGAGAGAATTTTCTTTAAATAATGAAGTGTTTCTCATAGCGCATTCTTAAGCACATTCTTCATACACGTGGCCTGATAGCTGGTTGTCTTTTGGCATAATTGTCACAGATTTAGCATGGGTAGACAGGCTGGTGTCTTCAAAAAGGTCAACCGGGCAGGCCTCGCTTGCCTCCTGCAGAGCACCAATAGCTGCACTCAGGGAGCACAGATCTGTTTGAAGTCCTGAGCAAGTGCTCGCACCAGACCCTGTCGGGGAAGTTTGCAAATCAGTTCAGTGGACTTCTGATAACGTCCAGTTTCACGGAGTGCCATGGTACCAAGCCTGTAATGATGAGGTTTCCGCACTCTCTTGTGGCTTTGGTAGCCAGTTGCTCCCTCGGTGCTTCACCACCTGTCAGTCTGCGGGCAGTCTGCTTTGTACGAGCCGTGGTCCAGAGACCTCCTTACTTACCCCTTCTCCTTCGGCCAGCGCTCAGCCAGCCAGAGGCAGTGCCGGCTGGCGTTAGAGAGTGATGGTGGTTAGAGAGTGTGACAGCTGCGACATGAAAAACTGCTTTTTAAAAAAACTTTCCTCTAACTTTTTAAAATACTTAAACCTTATAAAATTTAGTCCTTTACTTTGTAAGGGATTTATCCTCGTGGACTTGGTTTCCCGGTTGTTACCTGCAGCACAGCTTCGGCCTGCACACTCTTCCTGCTCCCCCCACTCTGGTTAACAGCTCCTGAGAGTGTGCTTCATGCCAAGCAGTCCTCACTTGGCTGTGTTAATGAATTACTTTATTTAAAAATAGACCTCTGCTTCAATAGGTGAGGAAAAGGAAGCACAGAGCTGTTAAGTAACTTGCCCAAGGTTGCAGTTAGTAAGCAGTGGAATTACCACTTTCATTACTTATTTGTCAGTTCATCTTTTTTCACAGATTTCAAATGCCACCTTTATCATATACTAGGTTTCCATGTATGTATATTTGTGTCTCTTTCTGGATTCTTCTTTTTAAGCCACTGAGCTGTCCGTCTGTTTTGGGGCCAATACCATGTGATGTATTTGATACGGTGTCCGAGGATATTTTGACAGCTGGCGTGGGAAGTGCCCTCTTATTGTTGTTCTTTTTCAGAAGGGCTTTGGTTGTGCTTAAACTTTATTTTTTCTTTTCAAAATGAACTTTAGAATAGCACAATACTAAATGTCCCCATAACCTTAATTTGTTAATCTTCAAATAAGTTTATTTTATTATGTACATTATAGTACCCAGCACATAGTTTTAAATAATTATGAAGTTTTTTTAAAGTTCTTCAGAATGTATAAGAAAAGCTAAATTTCCTGTACATAAATCTGTGATTTAGGCACTGAGTGATTTACTTTAATGTTTCTCTTTTGTTGAACTGTGTTCAGTCAAGTTTACCTCTTTTTATTACTGTTTTATAGTAGGTTTCTTCTTCCTAGCTCCTAGTTAGAGTTTCTATAGTCTTGTATGTCATCTTTTCAAGATTCTGTGGTTTTACCAGGTAAATTGATGATCACAAAGCATAGGTTCTATATCCCAGGGGAGTGTGTGAGGGATGCACAGCAGTGGGCCTGTCGCATCAAAGAATAATATCTGGTGGTGACACGTTTATTGTGTTGTAGTGTCTGACTGGCAGGATAACGTCTCATCTTTTCCTCCGCTTACAAGCTTTTAGAAATTATGCTCTTTACTGAGGCCTCTCACTGCCAAGGAGAATAGAAGCCAACTTCAGTGTTGTGACGTGGAGACCCTGTTTTTACTCTTTTTTCAGAGCAGTCAGTCCTTAAGCTATCTGAAGCTTAATTGTGTTTAGCCATTAAAGGAAGAACACTTTTCTTTCACACTGTGGCTACAATTTTTTAAAGCTATCCTAAAAAAAGGCTTTTGGTTTGTTTGTTTCTTTTTGATAAACATGATTAGCAACCTTTTTTTAAGTTTAATATAAATTCTTCTTGGGGCACTTAAGTCTCTTTTTGGTCAGGTTTTACCTTCTACTGATGAGGTGGGCTTTATTTTCTCTGTGAAGTGAGAACTTAGGGTCATGGAAACATTCAAAATAAATGTTTAACAGTAAAGTATAATAATCACATCTACAATTTTCTGAGTACTAAAATTTCAGATGTTATAAATATTCTTCCACTCAAAAAAAGTGTGTGTGTATTTCTGTTCACCCTCTTTCTTTAATTTAGCAGTAGCACACATTTTTGTTTTTCTGCTGTATTTACCTTGTACATGCTGGAGATCCTGCCATAATAGTATAGAGAGACATTCTTTATTCCTTTTCATAGGTGCATACTACTCCATTGTGTGTATATATACGCTAATTTATTCAACCCATCCTCTATTGTTTGCTCTTTGGGATGTTTCCTGTCTTTTGCTATGATACCATGTTATATTGGGTTGGCCAAAAAGTTTGTGTTTTTTTTTTTCATAAAAGACACATTTTTCATTTTACCACTAACTTCTGGTCTACCCAACCGTGGAGCATTGTCCATTGAGGAATCTCCAGCATGAAATTTCACAAACCCCTTGTGACACATTCAGTCAGTCACAGCACCTTCTCCTTACATTGCACAAATATTTATATTTTTGTGTTTCAGTCACATTTTTACGTTTCCTGAAATAATAAAGCATAATATGCCAAAAATGTTGCTTATTTTCCTCCATCTTCAATATTAAAATGGCCACACAAAAATTCACCAGTTTCATTAAGTATTTTAAAAAAGGCATGCTGATATGACAGCTGTCACAATCCAGTCTAACCAAATTGTTTCAAATGAAGTTAAAGACAACTAAGTGCCACTGCAGTCAGCCTGGGTTGGCCAAAACTTTGTTTGGTTTTTTCCAGCATGTATTTGCCAGCTTATTTTTGGAATAGATTCCCTAGAAATGAATTGACTGTATCAAAGGGGAATGCATACGTTACTCTGCTAGAAGTATCCATATTCCTCTTTATACAGCTTATGCTGTTTTGCATCCTCACGGCTAATAGATGAGCGCCTGTTTCCCACAGCCTTGCCTACAGGGTGTGTCGTTTTGCCAGTCCGTAGGTGAGAAATGACCTCAGTGTAGTTTTAGGTTGCATTTCTTTTACCAGAAGTAACACTAAAGACCTTTTCATATAGGTAAGAGCCATTTGCATTTTTTTCTATAGAGTTTGTGGCTTTTTTCTTCTCTAATTTTAGGAGTTCTCTTTATTTAGGGCATTCACCCTTTAATCTTCTTTGTTAACTTGGGAAAGTACCCACAATATGCTGATTGCAAAGAACAAAAAATAAACTGTATATTCAGTATGAGTTCAGTCGGTAAAAGAAAAGTGTGTGTGTAGTGTATACAGGAAAGCAAGTGAATGCTACATAAGCCATCGTCCCATCGTTCTCCTTGGGTAGTGCGATTGATTATAAGTGATCTTTCTTTCTTCTTTCCTGTATTTTTGAGATTTATTATAATAAGCATAGTATAAATCGGGATAAGAACTTTAGAAGAATTTAAGACTTGATAAAAGATAAACATTGAATGATTATTAAGATGTTGATTAATATATTTCAAGTTTCATTTAATTCACAATATTTATTTATTTAGTAATTATATACTGAGTCCTTACTATGCCAACCAATGTTCTAAATACTGGCGAACTAGCAGTGAGTAAAGCAGATGAAGTCCCTGCCCTCACTGAGCTTATAGTCTGATAAAGGAACAGGACCGTAGTTTTAAATCTTCACTTGTATATATTTTATTTGTTATTTGCACTACTTTTTGGGTGAAATTTTCTTCTATCTTTTATGTCTCACAGGTTGGGAGACATAATACATAAATGTGTGTGTATATGTTTTTACCCATGTCCCTTTGTGGAAATAGCACATGTATGTATCATTGGCACAACCGACCAAAATTTTAGAATGGAGTTTCAGAGGCGAAAGGCAAGAACAGGAGCCCTTTGGTAATTTGTACTTCGGAGAAAAGCTCCTGGTTTGGGGAATTGTGTGTAGAGTTCTTGAGAAGCTCTAGGAACTGTTAAGTAGTAGAGGTTAGTTGTATAAACAAGAAATTAGAGACCCTCTGAAAGAGAGCGGGGGAAACTGGACCAGATATTAATACGCGGATCTGCTTTGACCGGCTGACTCCTGCGTGTTCTTCATGGGCCAGTTCACATGTCTCCTCTCAGGGAGACCAGTCCGTTCCTGGCTTCTAGTGCCCGGGTCAGGGTTCCCCCTGGATGTGCCCAGCATCCCGTGCTTATCCCCATCATAGCTTTGTTACAGTACATTCTGGTTACCTCTTTCCCGGGCTATGTCAACCAGCTGTGAGCTCCTGGAAGGCAGGGACTTGACCTCATCTTTTCTTCTATTCCTTGTGTGTAGCACGGTGTCTGGCCATCATGGACACTAAGTTTTGAATCACCTCTTGGTCAGAAGCATAGAGATATTTAGTAAAATAAACATTTGTGTGTACTTGGGTGACAAGACATCTGGTTGTGCTCTCCTGGATGGGGAGCACAGACCTGAAGGCCCATCCACAGCCAGTGGACCCTGAACAGAGCAGCGTGTGCCTGGCCCAGGGAGCCGGCTTTGTTAGCCTCCCAGTGTTCTAGAGTTGGTTGCTGCTTAAATCTTATGTGGAGGAGGCTACCTGATGGAATCCAGGTACTTGGTTCCCTAAGGGTTATTCCCCTAAGAGTTCTCATGCACATTTTTTGGGTCCATCCCTGTTGGATCAGCCCACTTGGCATGGCACATAGTACTGCTCACTGTGGCTCAGCGTGTGTGTGGTCAGTGACCGATGGGCCCTTCTCATCTTCAGCTCTTCTGTCTCCTTCTTCCTAGTGCTTTTTCCCACTTTAGTTCCATTCTATTCTTTGGCTCTCCCCTTGCCTTCCCCCCCTTTTTTCCTGTATGTAAAATCTGCCCTGGAGTGGCTAGAAACATCAAGGGCGTGTTTTTTTTTTTTTTTCAAGATTTTTAAAAAATATTTTATTTATTTTTAGAGAGAGAGGAAGGGAGGGAGAAAGAGAAGGAGAGAAACATTAATGTGTGGTTGCCTCTCACGTGGCCCCCACTGGGGGACTTAGCCTGCAACCCAGGCATGTGCCCTGATTGGGAATCGAACCGGCGACCCTTTGGTTCGCAGCCCATGCTCAATCTACTTGAGCTACACCAGCCAAGGCGCAAGGGCCTTTGTAAGCTCCCCAGAACAACTGAAATTTGCTTTGGACTTTTGCCTTAGGCTGGCCAGCCTGATAAGTGCAATTACCATTAGGGTGACCAACTGTTCTGTTTTGCCTGGGACTTTCCCAGAAAGCCCCTCAGTCCGGATGTTAGTTGCTCTGGTTTTGCTGACGTAGGAAACTGCAGCATCACGGGTGACTGGGATGATTCTGCAGTTTTGTTTTCTAGCACTTCCTGGCACTCATCAGGTACGTTTTTTCATCGCAGATTGTAAGATCATGTGATATCACGTTACAGGAAATGAATAATCTCTTCCTGTTTTATCATTAGCCAAAGGCTTTTGAACAGTACTTGAACATGGAAGATGGCAGGCTGCTGAGTCATCTGAAGATGTGTTCTGCGGTGTCCAAACTTCCTTATGACCTCTGGTTCAAGAGGTGCTTTGCAGGTTGCTTGCCTGAATCCAGTTTACAGAGGCAAGTATATCTTTCAAAGATGCACTGAATGAGGGCTTGGATGGGAGAGGAATCCTGGTTTCTCTTGTGATCATCCCTCAGAATATAGATTTGCTTTAGAACAACGTAGTAATTTAAAGTTAACTTCTCTAGCAGCTAATATAACAACACACAATTATGTTTGTTAGAATACAAATATTGATAGTAACAAATTAATATTGTAAGTATTAGAATATACAATTACACAAATCGAGGGCCCTCAATGTGTTAAATGCTGTACAGTATTTACATGTGAAGCAGTCTGCAGGAGTTGATGGCCTTTTCCAGAAATGCGAGAGATCCTCATCTAGAAAACGCCTTGGTATTTTTTAGTTTCATATGACATCTTCCAAGTAGCTGAAGGCAGTCAAAGATTTGAGCCTCAAACACAGAATCTTTGAGTTTAAAAAAGCATGAGTTTCAGATGTATGTTGTGTGTGTTTTGGAGACCTGGCCTTCTCCCTCCAGGTGTAAGGATGTAGCTGCAAAGCGAGGCAATAGACAGAGAACATTATAAGACAATGCATAACTAAGCATGGAGAGTGTAACACCAACCGTAAGTGTTATGGGAATTATCAGTTATTTTAGAGTGGTTGCACAGCAGTGACTCTCCTTCTGAGCCCATGAAGAAGTTGAAGGAATTTGAACCTCTGGAAAACGAATTTATCTCATTTCATGTGCTGCTTATCATGTTGTGATTACATTAGCGTTACAAAATATTAGTAAAATTTAAAGTTCAGTTTAGGGTTTTTATTTTCTTCTGGAAGCTGTCAGTTTGAAATATTAAGGAGCGGGCGTTTGGTAGATTCCTAGCAGAGCAAGTACTTAGTGGTGATCATTTCTTTTTTCCTTCCAGTGTGTCTAAAGTAGACTTCAAATGGCTGAATTGTTGTTTTTGATGATTATTTCATTATAGTTCTTTTGTGAAGCTTATACTTAAAGCAGGAGTGATTTGGTTTAATTTTATAATTTAAGATGTCTAGGTAAACAAATTTTAACCTCACATAATTTGATTATATCTCTCTTCATTTTTGTAGGGTTTGGGATAAAGTTGTAAGTGGATCCTGTAAGATCCTAGTTTTTGTAGCAGTGGAAATTTTATTAACTTTTAAAATAAAAGTAATGGCACTGAACAATTCAGAGAAGATAACAAAGTTCCTGGAAAATGTAAGTGTGCTTTATTTTATTTGATTTTGAATCCAGAAAGGAAGGTAGCTTAGCAAGCTAGATTTTCCGGTTGCATTAAATTGTTTCAGAGAAATAATACAGTGTATTTTTACATCATAAGAAAGAAATCTTCCCTTGAAAACATTTAGCTGCCAGTCGATCGGTGGGTTATAGGTGGCACTCTCTCTATTTGGGGACAATGGGCTGAGCATAGCGGCTGTCACTGTGGCTGCGTACACTCAGTACCAGAGTCCTGTTCCCAGATGGGTCTACTGGGGGCTTGTCAAGAAGAGGAATAGGTGGGTCTGTCACGTTAGGGTGGGTAATCCTTGTTAATGGAAGAGGAATCCTGGTGTTTTGGGGATTGGCAGGCTCTTTCATTTTTGTTACCATAGTTGTTGGAATCGCAGTTGGGTTTGGTAATGTGCTTAAGTATAAACTTCGTGCATGTTGGAAAAGGTCTAAATGAATCACCTTTTCCCTCTCTTTGTGTCTTAGAATACCCTTAACCAGGCAAGAGGTAGGAGTAAAGAGACTCATGCCTGAAGGAGTTTCACTGGACCCAAAATCTATTCTTTGTTTTTATCAGTCAGTATTAACATTTGAACAATGGTCTGGTAAAGAATGAGTACTAACTGAATGTGTGTTGAACAAATTACTCAATCATTCTAATATCAGTGGCTAACAGTGCCGGAGAGCTTTTGTGATGTGGTTTTCCTGGAATATCTCATGTAATCCTGTAACAGCCCTGTGGAGTGGGGGCTGCCATTTGCCCTGTTTTAGAGGTGGGGTCTGACCCCTGGTAGTTTAGGTAACCTGGACCCAGGGAGCTGAGGAGCCTGCCAAGGGCACACAGTTTAGTGGGCAGTGCAGGGTCTGCATCCAGGCAGCCTGACACCAGAGCTCCTTAGTGTGTCCTCAGGTGGCACGTGAAACGAAGATCCTGGCAGCAGCCTTTTACGAGATCACGGTGAGAACGCCCTTGGAAGGGAGGTTTATGCCACAGTGAAGGAGAGGGGTCCTGAAGCCGGAAACGCTGAGGTTACACGGAGACCGGTTTGCTTGTTCACAGATTCCCCAGGACAGCTCGGATGCGATTGTGAGCAAGGCCATCGACTTATGGCACAAGCACTGCGGGACCCCAGTACATTCAGCCTGAACTTCAGCCCTGAACAGCCTGCCAGGCCCGCCCTGAACATTTGTTGTGGGGATGTGATCTACACTGATTGAAAACAGGATTCTGGCTTTGGTGCTCAAAGTGTAATTTCTTTTCCAGTAAAATTATTCCATCAGGAGACCTGTTGTCGCTGTGTTGTGAGCAGCCTCTTTTGGTTACAGAGAAGAACAAAGTTCCACTCTGCATACAGTTTAGAAGGGTTGTTGGGTTGCTAAAGCGGGCCTTGCGGGGAGGGTACAGGTGCCGATCGGCAGTGCATAACCACGCCCTGCCCCGCTTCCCTTTAATCAGCGCCAGGCCAGTGACTCTCTGAAGTCCGTCTCTGGAGTAAAGAATTACTTCCTTGGGCTGACAGCTCGGATTCAGCTGTTGTCGGTGTCCTACTCGTTTACATCCACGCTGACTGCTTCTCTGAGGCTAAACAGGTTTAAATAAAGGACTTAAATTTTTTTCTTTGTGCCATTTGAAACGAAACCGATATTGAACAAAATATGTCTAAACTTACCTACCAGGAGAGAGAATACTTGTTGCTATTTTGCTGGATCCATGCTTTTTCCAGATGGGCCATTAAATAGTGGGTGGGTTTCAGGGAGCACCTTGTCGCCCAAAGTTGGAGTGGGAGAAGTCGCAGGTTAAGGTCAATAGCCTGTGACCCTGGGCCATGTGGTGCCTCACAGTGGTCACTGTCCACCAGGCAGTAGCAGGCTTTGCGACTGTGGAGCGAGATGCTGCCTTTTGTATGAGGCCATTCAGCTGTCAGACCTGCAGGAGCCTCAGTGGTGAGCTGGATTCTCCACTCCGTGAACTTATGAAGTTATAGATCTGAGTGCTCAGTCCCTCCCCCCTGTGTGAAATAACTGTAACAGAGTTCAGAGCCACCTGAGTTGTTCACCAGCCTGTACTTCTGTATAGTAGCATATCTAAGAGTATCTAAGATACTCTGTAAAACAAGAAAGACATACTCAGAAGGAAACTTGTAACAGCAAACCGCTGTCTACAGTCGATACTTGACATTTATTCACTGATACCCTCTGCCTTCTGCTGTCTGGGGATCTTGGGGACATACGAAATTTAAAGAGAAGTCATAAAACAGTAATAATATTGTGTGCACTTCATTTATATCATCTGTATAATTATTTCACAAAATGAAGATTTGAAAGTCAAGTGATGTTAGTGAACCTCTATTCCAGAAAAAAGAAGAAAAAGAATTAGCAATCTTTCAACAAGAGAAAAATTTGGAGGTATGCTTTCCTGCTTGCGCCTAGCTGCTGGGAGAAGACTGGCGTGTCCTAGAGGAAGTGTGGGAGGGGCGGAGCCCGGAGCGCCGGGACTCTGGGTTCGGGGAAGCTCAGGGGCCGCAGTGTTCGTCTGCGCAGCGTGGGGAGGCCCAGGTGATCCGAGAGGGAAGGCCGGTACCGCACTGCAGCGGAATTGTGAGATAGGTACTACAATATATTCTGCAAGTACAGTCTGTGAGATCTGGTGAAACCTCTCTGGCTGTGGGGCGTGGGGGTGGGAATTATTTTTTAAGTGAGGCAGTGTGAAGCCATCAAAAATTTTCTTTATTAGAAAGCAGCTTCGTCTGAGTGGAAGGGTTTTCTAAGGTGCACTGTGAGGACACTGATACAACAGTGAGGGTCCGGTTTCTTTTCCATGTCGGAATTTACTTTTGTTAAGAGCTGAGTATTTCCAAAACGTTTCTGTGCATTGCCTTTGGTGAGAAGCGCAGCTCCTGTTGGAAACAACTCCCTGTCTTTATTCCAAACATTTGGTCAGGACACTGCGGAATTTCTTCTCTGTGGAAAGCCTGTGGTTTCTGCTGTAGCCCAAACTGTCATCGAGTTCTCCTCCTCCCTCGGAAAATGGGGATTTAACGTCATTCAGTTTAGTTCTGCTCCGCGAGGAGATACTGAGGGACGAGGGTGCTGTGTGTGCATGTCTGTGTGTGCATTTGCCTGATGACAGATGGAATTGGAACACTCTATGTGCACAAGCTTGTGTGTGTGTGAGGCTACTTCAGGAAGTGAGGTCAGGGCTTATACTAGTGAAATCCTTTTTGTTGTTAGTGGAAAGTTTGCCTGAAATTCATGGGGCAACACTCAGGTCACATGATGTGTAGAAAGCGCTTGCAGGCTCCACGCTCTTGCTCTGAGATGACACCTGCCCGCCTTGTCTTGAATTGCTTCACAATCCTCCCTTGCTCTGAGCTGTCCCCTGTCATGGGCTCGTCACCTCCCTACTGTGTCTTAAAGTTTGTTTTCTGTCCCTGAGAGTGAAGAATCTGCAGGCAAGTCTGTGGGGATGAAGAGGGTAAAAATGGAGCTTCTGTGCCCAGGGCCTGGTCTGAAGGCTAGGCTCCTCTTGCTCAGAGTGACAGGCTGTGTAGGTGCTGAGCAGTTTTAAGCAGGACTGGTGTCCTGAGATCTTCTGCCTAAGGCTGCCTTTGGGAGAGATGGGGTGGGGGGCAGCTGCAGGGCAACCGGCTCTGCATGTTACATCTGCCAGTGGTCCCACGGGGTACGCAGCTCTTGTCTGCCGGCTTTGGAAGGGCTGCAGGGCACCCTCTCCGCCTCGACAGGGAGGGGAGTGCGGGGATTTGTGCAGCGGGAGTTGGTGGCATTCCCTCGGGCGGGTGAAGCAAAGGGCTGTTTCTCCTTCAGAGTCTGTGCCAAACGAAACTGCCTGTGGCGCTTGGCACAGACTGCACATCTCCAGATCAGCTGTTGCTTACCCAGAGTCTCACCAGTCTGGGGAGGAGGGTGGGGGTGGAGGGAGGGGGGTGATGTGATGAGAACAGGAGGTGGTGGGAATTTTTCCGGAGGGCCGTGGGAGGGGTGGGGGCCTGTCCTTTTACTGCTTTCCTGACCACCCGCTCACTTTCCAGTCTCTCAGCCTGGTCTTACAGAGGTTAAAATGTAAATGGACAGTTAGTTGCTAGTGAGGTGACAGTTCCCCACTTCTATGGAACTGGGGGCCGGTTTTATTGGAGGGCAACTGCAGGGGGAGTGGAGAATGTGATCTGAGAGGGACATGGGGAAAATCCTTCAAGAAACCTCTTCCTACTGAGGAACTCCAGATAGAATATCACAGCAGGCACTTAGTGTTCAGACCCCAAACACTCACCTGGCAGGTAGGTGTTACTTAGTTTGCCAAGAACTGAGGCACACACCCGTGCTAGGGGTGGCCAGAGCTCACGCTAACTTGCAGCCCTCCTGTCAGGTTTCTTCCTGGTCTTCTCCCATCACCCTCCTTTTCCTACGTGTTGACAGGTGACAACCTGGTCCTTGGTAGGTCTGGCATCTCTCCCTGCCCCGCCTACCTGCTGGACGTGTATGAAGGTTTGTGAGGGAGGAGCAAGGACGAGGAGAGCTTTGATAATTTGCTTCTAAATGTCAGAAGGCTGCACTCCCCACCTCCCATTTTCCCTCTTCTCTTCTCTTTGGGTCTTGTGTTCTTCTGTTTATTCTCATTGAATCATGAAATAAATTTGAACACACCCCTTGTTACGGGCCTGGTGCTGAGCTTAATTGCTGAACAACTCATATGCTGTCTGCCCTCTTGGAACTCACAATCATGCGGGGAAGACAAATATTCAATCAAATACATATTTCGTTCTCTTAGTCTTTAAGTAAAGCACCTTGCAGCACAAGGGAGAAGGTACCTGGGCTGCCCAGAAGCCCCAGAGGAAGGTTGGCGTTACTCCGAGATGTTGGTTCTCTGTCCCCTTCCCCATTAACGGGAGGTGGCAGAAAGTCTTGGCTGGGGAACCGTGGGGTTGGGGGAGGGGCTGAGCCTTTTTCATACTCACCCCGTGCCTCAGTTTTCCATGTAAATAATTGCTATTTAAAATTATGTGAATACCTGTAATAATTGCAAATAGCAATTATTTACATTCCTTACCCCTCGGTGTGTTTCTGAGCATCCAGTGAGCTTAGTGTGGAAACACTTTTACGAAGCACAGAGCGCCACGAAGTGCCATTATTATTAATAGATGGTTTGTGAGAGCCTGGCCGGCCCTGCCTCTATTGGAGTCTGTGCCTCAAGGCCTAACTCAGCTTTGCTGGCTCTGAAAAGTGTTCCGCCAGCTTCCAAGCTGGAAGCGTCATCTCCATGCTCTGAGCTTCTGTGACATTCGGGCACTGCTCCTTTAGCAATCCTTGGAAATCTCGTTTGGTGGTCTTCAACTTCCATTAAACTTTCCGTGTGGTTTCCCTCTCAAATGCAAGCCTCTCGAGGCCAGAGACTGTTCTGCTCCCTTTCGCACACCCTCACTTTCCCTAGCACACTTCCTCAGGCATGTTCTCTCCCCAACCGGGCTGTCCCCCACCCGACTTTGGGCAAACCGTCCTCGTCAGGAGCATCCTTTCCCCACTGCAGGGGACATCCTCATATCTTAAAGACTCAGCTCACGCTCCCCTCCTCCAGGAAGCTCTCCTGGCTTTCTGCCCTTTCATGGCACTTGGAATCCTTTTCACCACACTTAATGTGTTGGTTTGGAGTGACCCGTTTGCGTCCCACACTAGCCTGAAAGGTCCTTGAGGGTGGAGACCATGTCCTGTTCTTGCTTTCATTCCCACAGTGCCAGGCACATCCCAGCCCGCCTGGGCTCTCCACGAACATCAGTTGAGTACACGAATGCCTGGCTCAGTGTTGCCTCAGACTCCTCTGGTGGCAAGTAATAGAATTGTTCTGGTGCCAGCTTGCTTAAAGCAGATTTTATTACAGGGTACGGGGTGAGACTCAGACTCAGAGTCAGTGGGGCTGGCATCTGGGACCGGACTAAAGAGTTAACTCTGGACCCTCTTATCCTTTTCTCTTTGACCTCTCTGTGTGCAGTGCAGATTGCTCTGGAAAGATGCCTTTTACCCTATGCTCCTAAGCTTGTATGGTCCGGGTCCCGTCACCAGGTGGGTGGGAGAGGCTGTGGTCCACTGTGGGTCTGCTGCTGCCCATCATCTGTAGCCATGGAGACAGAGGGCTCATATAGCAAACACATGGCCACCAGGAGCCTCTGTCCGTGTCTATGGCAATGTGGGGGTGGTGAGTGAGGGTCGTTGTCACAAGGTCCACTGTGAGTTAGGACACTCTCTAAAGCTTTCCACTTCATTTAGCAAATCTTTTGACTGGATATGTGCCCTGCTATGGTGCCAGGAGGGGCGGCTAAGTCAGGGTGGCTTTTCCTTCACCACTTATGCCTGGTTTCTATCAACTGGTCTGAGGGTGGCACTGCTAGCCCTTTCGGGTGGGGTGGGCAGGGTGGGAATGCCCCGCTGGCAGCTTCGGTAAGGGGTCTCACCTGGCCGGTGGTTCCTTTCTGAGCGTTTCAGGTCGAGTCTAGTTCATTCTGGAAGTCTGTGGGAAGTTGGCTTTGCCCAGCTCCTTCTTCCCACCTGGGTCGGGTGGGAGGCTTGGTGGCGAGTGGCTGTCAGTAGCTGTGTTTATTTGCCTCTTACTGCTTGGGAGATTGTATGATTCCCTCAGAGTGTCCAGCACTGGGGTCTCTAGTCTGAGTTGGGCTCCAGCCAGATCTGGTGACCGCTGGATGAACCTCAATAAGGTCAGTTAGGGTAGGCAGCTGCTAAGGCCGACTGATTTCAAGATCACAGGGTGGCACACCTTGACCTGAGGAATGTGGGAGCTGGAGAAAAACCTGCTGGTCCCCTCCCCAATACACAGATACGAAAAGTGGGCTTCCAGGACCGAGGGGTTATACCAGGTCCCCGTGGGCAGCCAGGCAGCCTTAGAACGGAGGCATTCTGGCTCTGTCCAGCAGGCACTTCACTTCCAGCTACTACTTCATCCTGAAACACCACCCCATCTGTTTTCTGAGCCTTAAAAACCCCTTCATTGGCACAAAACACTGTAATAATAGTCCCTCAGAATTGGTAGGAGAAGTGCAGAAAGACACACGGAGCTCTGAGCTCAGTGCTGGGCACAGAACAAGCACTTATCATCCAATAGGTGTTACACACCACATGTGATAAATGCGTGTCCTCAGAGAGGTGGCACTGTGACTTACAGTTTTATTAAAAGCTGCCTTAGAGGAGATTGCTTCCTGTGAAGAGGTCTGAGATGGAAGGCACATTACGGGTTAGGTCATGCATTTGAAAGGGGCTCCTTAAACTTTAATGGGCACAGAAATGTCCTGGGGCCCCTGTTAAAGTGCAGATTCTGATTTAGTAGCTGTGGGGTGGGGACTGGGGCTCTGCACTTGTAACAGACTCCCTGATGGTGCCCATGC